GGGTTGGATGTCAAAAGAACCCCAGTGATATATATTTACTCTGAGAAAACCAGTATGATTTTGCCTATTTGTGTGTGTGTGTGTGGGGGGGGGGCATACTCTGGTTTTGTTCTTTGTGCCGGCCTTCCTTAAAGTAAGCACAACATAGGGATCAGCTTTTCCGAGAAGATCAGCTGGGGGAAGGTCATCTGCAGATATGACAGTGACTGAAAGTACCCCTCGTACAATTACCTCCCTTTTGATATCGCCCCCATTTTCTCTCAGTTCTGTGCTGTTTTTAAGAGCTTTTTCTAAAGAAGTCATTGAAAACTTATCATCAAAGGGGTTTGTGAACCCGTTCTTCATGCCAATAGGGCAGTACAACAGCTCCAAGTTCACCTAAAATAGCATTTGGCATTGGTGGGTTAAACATAGAGCAAATGTGTTACATTTAATTTCATGAACAGCAACACAATTATTAAAAAAAATTAAGTTTTGTTTTAGAGAACAATAAAGATATGCAGATCCACGAAAGGGTCATCAGGTATATCTGTATATCAACGGCCAACGCTAGGAAAATTTATATTTTTATGCAACTAGACCTTAATATAAGGCACAAGTGACCAAATTACACAAACTGAAAAAAGATAGTTAATTTCTTTAGTTCTTAAAAAAATACTCCTTCCATATTTAACTAGCTATTATGACTTTTGTGATAGAGTCTTATGTGTGTGTACGAAGCCATAATGCAACATGTGTCCGTGTGTGTGCACGGAGCCACGATGCATGTCATCTTGTTAAGATGGTGCACACTGGTGCAGATTTTTTTCTAGATATATTTGACTTGTTTGGTTCATGGGGTTGTTTGATTCGGGTTTCCTTTGGAAACACTTTTTACTGTCACGTAGGGGTAAGGTCCACATGCAAACCTTCCCTAGACCATAATTTCATGGGATTTTTTACTAGGTTTGCTATTATTATCACTATTGTGATACATTAACAGTCCAATGAACATGGACATACATGATGTCTGCATTCATTTGACTTTTGATGTATCACATAAATCATGATGATCAGTTAAATGTGAAAGAAAAGAGTATTGAGTATGATATCCAATTTCACCGTCTTTTAAATGCTTCCTTTGAAACAACAATGTTTTATAAAAAGGGCCATTGAGCCTTTTTAAAAGGTGTTGCGATATCAAAATAAATATCCTTAAGCACGAAGAAAGAGATATAGATTCTCACATGGCCCCTATCTTTTTTGTCTCTTTGTATTTCCAAGTCTTTCACCAATGGTAGCCATACATCCTTCACTTTTCCAGGTTCAAGTTCATTCAACCTAACATGAGCACATCCAATCAGCTCGCTCGCTTGCAGCCCTTCATCATCATAGATCTTAATCACTAAGTGTTGTGTTAATGGATCTTCAACAACGAACTGGAAATGCTCATTCCAGACCGGGTTCAAATCATTGTTCTGAAAATTTAAAACATAAGATTCATGTTAAAAATGGATCCAAACAGCTCTTTACAGACCTCGTGGAAAGGGAAGATTAAAAAACCAATCACTTACAATGATCTTGCTTTTTTTAATTTTATCCCGTACAGGGCGCACATATAACTCGGCAAAAGGATCAGACTTTCCGATGATGTCTTTATTTGTTAGACCCTTTGCTTGAACAAGTTTCACCTCTAACTTCCCGACCGGCTTCAGTTCAAGATCACTATAAATAAAGAGAGAAATGTAAAATGGATATACTGTGCAACCAATAAATTATGCATGGATTAATGATATTATGAATGGGGCTCTTTTGACCCTCATGCCATGTGAGGACCCAACAATGCTTCGTTTGACACCCGAAGTGGTTCCTACCACCCACAAACAAACTCCCTAAACCCGCCCACAGCCCCCCTGTTTTGCCATCATGCTACACTGCTACAGTTATACCAAGTAATTACTATAGCATAACTGTGGAACATAAGGTTTGTGGGGGTTAGAGGGTATGAATCATTTCGGGGTCAAACAAAGCACAGTAGGGCTCTTAAATCGCATGGCGTCATCTTATGACACCCAAGTTAGGCGTCAAAAGCTGTATATTGCATGGACTTTCAAATAAGTGTCGCTTACCGTCCCCATTTGATTGCTTGGGTGTGTCTCAACACCCAAATCTTTTATTTAGAGGAAACTAGAAATTCCTTTGAATTCTAGGATTTCAGTTCTTAGATTTCAGATTACAAGGGAAGTGTATAGATTTGCAATTGGGCATTGTTGGAAATTAAGAATTTGGCCCAAATCCAATTTTTTTTGGATCCTCAAACATGAAATATGAATCAAATGTGAAATTGAAATCCAAATTTAAGTTCCCAAACACGCCAATATAAGATTTGGAAATGTTAGTGTTTCCACGTCTCCGACCCCGTCTCGGTGTAACTTAGGTCAAAAGAACCCCACTTTAATATTATTATGATTCTTGATAATTTATACTCCAAATTAGAATAGAGCGACATAAAGATACCGAACCCTCCCTCCCCCCACTGGCCCCCTAACAATAAACGTGTATCCTCTTCTTAGATCAAGGTTAAAAACTCTTAAATTTTAGTATCGGATGACTCGTGAGTTGCGAGCTTTTCAGCAACTAAAAGCTAACCGCTACCAAAAACTCCAAAAAGTATCTTTCCGGCTAGTCATGCCAAACATACACAATAATTCGTAGAATTGATACCTGTAATCCCCGGGTAGTATAGGAATAACTTTTCGGACAGGCCACATGATAGAATCTTCAATCGCATCTCGTATTGTACCCTTTAAGAGATGAATGTTATGTGTTAAACCAGGAATTTATCATACAAAATAATATTACAACGGATATACGTAGTTCAAAAATGAATCTATAGACATATTTCTATTCCTTGTACCAATTTGATTCTTTTGTAGTACATGGTTAACCAATGGACCAAATGCAATTTGGTCCATTGGCTATACATGCTTGATCACTTTTTGCAACTCAGGAAGCATTAACATTGAGCTAGATTGAGCATTAAGGACAATTGAAAATTAATGCCGAAGAAAAAATTAGTCTAATTGAAAGGTACTTTCATACCTCAATTGCATCAGCAATGCCGGGTATTGCCGTCAAATCGCCACCAACTACTTTAAGTGTAAAATCGAGATTTTTCTGCATATGTTTAGAACAAAAAAAATTAGGGAAAAAGTTGTAGTTAAAGACAATGAACCAGGTGCATCATATGCCTTTCTAGATGTGATATACTCCCTTCGTGCCCAAATTATAATCACACTTTCCACACTTCTCATTTTCCCATTTTAAGTAAAGAATGTGTGGCACGCCTCATTTTCTCTCTTTCGAACAAATTATTGTCACACATTTTTCACTTTTCAACATTTTTTCTTAAACATTGTGAAGTCAAACTACGAATTAAATTTGGGGATGAAGGATGATGATGATGATGATGATGATGATGATGATGATGATGATGATGATGATGATGATGATGATGATAAAGAAATCTACCTAAGTAAGACTAAAATATGAAATATATACCAAAGTAAGATCTTTTACAACCCTATCCCCTAAGTATGAGGGTCGGGACTATAAACGCCACAATTTAACATTGTGTATTGGCATTTGCATTATGTGTTGGCATTATAAGTCATGTTTTGGTATAAAACATTGAATGCCCTATTTTGGTATGTGAAACATGTTTTAGTACTAGTTAGATATTTCTCCATAATAATATGGGTGCCCAAAAAGTGGAGAAAATAATGACTCGTTAAACTAAACGAGGCGCTGTTGGTTACTAGTCCCTAATCATACTCAGATTTTTAAAAAATATTTGTTTTTTAAAACAAAACATTTCATTTAAATCATCAAACTAGCCCTTATCTAGAAATCATGGGTTGCCACTACATATGGTCTACATAGAGTGTGATACAATGCCAAAGCAAAATTTGGAACTAATTTAACTATAAAAAGGACTAAAGTTGAACTCGAAGTTTAAATAGCACCTTTTGCCTTAAAGACACACAAACTGCTCCAAAGCAAGGGAGCTCATCGACAAGTGGGCGGAAGATCAGCCTGAAAATCCCAGTAAAACCAATGTTTTTCACCTATACACAACATAAAAACAACAAATTTAGAGAAATTATATGAAGTTGCAACGAAACTAACAGGATAAGATGTGCAAACAGGTACAACTACAAACCAGTATAATCCCAACTTTGCTGGGGTGTGAAGGGTCAAGATGTACACCGTCTTACCCCTGTAAAACACAGGGAGACTGTTTCTATTAGACCCTTGATCCATTGCTGCAATTACTACCCAACACTTCACTGAAAGTAAGAAGCAAAACAAGTTTAATGCGTCATTGTATTTAGCCCATTATTTACCCAAAACAAAAACATTGTCATTTGTCAATCAGCTCGATTGGCAATGGGCATGTGTGGGAACAGATAACTGTTAAAAAAAGTATACTCCTCTGTCTCGAAATAATAATCCTTGTTCTTTTTCTGAGACATCCCAAAAAAAGAGTCATCTTTCAATTTATAGAAAAGTTTTTTTGGCTCACATTCTTTCTCTTTCCTCTGCATCACGTGCAACCACACAATTTCACTTTTTTAAACTTTGTGTCAAGTCAAACTAGAACTAATAATTTTGAAAGGATGGAGTATTAACTCCATTCCAAAAAGGAGTCATATTTGTAATTCTGAAATAAGTATAACAATCAAGACTTTTTTTGGATAGAGAATGAAAGAATCTGGTTAAACCCGACTACATGTTTTAATATTATCAATAATTGGTTCGGGTGTCGATTTTACAAAATGAAACATTGAATCCAACCCGAGACCCGATGTTTTAAATACTCTATTAGTCTATTGGAATAATGATTTGTAAATAATCTATATAATCCAAAGATTATAATAATTACTCCCTCCGTCCATAAATAAGTTCACATTGCGCGTTACGATGTTTGACTGAAGTTATTTTCAAATCATTTATATGAAAAATTGTATGAAATTTAAAAATAAAAATTACATATTTAAAAACTACATGAAAAGATCTACAAAACTAGAAGTGACATGACTATATTATTTTATCAAATAGGACACGAAAATAGGCCAACAAAGTGAATAAAATAGTGAATGGGAACTTTATTGTTGGACGGAAGGAGTATATGAGTATGCTATTTTTATATGACCTTGTTCCCATCATTTTGTTACTAAATGTTAACTAAAATTTTATTTTGACAAGGAAAAAAGTAATAACTTTTAATAGTTTGGATTCTGACAACTCGATGACACCCAAACCAAATCACCCAAATATGATTGTGCCCGAAGAGTTTAGAGCAAAGTTAGAGAATTTTTTCGATGCCAAATTAGGGCTTGGTTTGAACCCAAATCCAACCCATACCCACCCCTAATTACAACAATAAATTTCACATTTCGCTTACCTGGACTGGTAGTGCAACACCAAGGTAAGTCTTAATATCAAGTATTATACTCGGATTTCCATCCCATTGCATCTCTAGCTCCATGGTTATACCTTCACTTCCATCTTCAATGATTTCTACTCCTAGAGTAAAAAGGAAAATAAAACAAAAATTAAATGGGCTACAATGACTGGTTTGTTCTTGAAGGTTTTCATATATTTGGGAGAATACTATCCATTGTTAATGTATGCTATACAGAGTACACCCTCTAAAGCTTGACACTCAACCCCTCCAAAACCCATCTTCCAAACACACCCTAAAGAATTTTCAGATAAACCATGCTTTCTGTTCAAAGAAATTCATTGAATAAAAAATGAAAATATCCCATCAATTCTGAGATGGAAGTTGGGGTGGAGCATCCCCCCACCCACCATGATTTCTTTTTTTCGATTGTGCGAGCATTTTTTGTGTAATTTGACTAATTTCAACAAAAATCAACTAAGGGTCAGTTTGGATTGACAACAATGCAAAAATCATTCCGACCTGTAAATTGAGGAGCAACCGTGCCAAGAGTGAACTTTGAAAACTTTAACGAGGCTAGAACAACCGGACGGTATGACTCAAGAACCGGCTCTACATTCATCTTGATCAATTCCGAGGCTGCCTATATCGGGGGCCATCAACAACAAAAAAATAAGACAAACCAAAACAACCTAAAAAACAAAATAGAGAAATTACCAAGAGCAATAACCAGCACTACTCACTACTGGAAAGCAATAAACAATTCTAACCTCGTTCACAGAAGGCCAGATCTTTTCAAGATGACTATTAAGCCATTTCAACTGAAACAAGAAAACCATTTTGAAAGAACTCAGAAACAACTAATAACATATGAGGCCGGTTCTTTTGGCATTGGTCACCAGTGTCATAATATGACAGCGGTCCATTTGATAGCCCTAAGGTTTTTAGCCCTAACCCCCTACAATTCCACAAACACCCTAGCCTCCGTAGGACCCCCAACCCCTAGCCCGCCCCCGCAATAAAATGTAAGAACAAAGAATCGTAGAACCATCAAATGTACCAGTGTCACATTATGGCACGGTGACCGATGTCAAAAGCATCGGACTGATAATATATATACACTCAGGTTATACAAAGAATGCAAATCAAAGCTTTCACCTTTTGTCTCTTAGAGAAGACAAGCCAAGAAGGGTACTGATCCTGGGTGAAAATCTTTCTAGAATCTTCAACCGTCATCCTCGCAAACGCCGCAACAGTATTGGCCTCAGATTTTAAAATTTCCAAGTTCAAAATCATAGCACGCAAAAAACAAAACCCAAGAAATCGAAACAGTAAAAAATGCTCAAAAAGAAAGAAAGAAAGAAAGAAATTTGCAGATAACATAGAACAGTTGTAACTTACGAGCTCGGAGCGCCGTTTGGATCGGGCGTTCTCAGATTTCACAAACGCGACTATCAAAGCTAGGCCGACGATGACTCCCACCACAAGACCAAACAGAAACGCCATTCTTTAAGAAGAAGAAGAAACAGAGTTGTTTGAAGCTGAAAGAAAACCGATGCAGAAGTTAATTCTTCAATTTTCTTTGTGTTCTTTTCCGGGGGTAATTTCAGGGAAGATGAAATGATGTTTCTGGGTTGGGAAAATCTGGAGGAAAAGGAGGCTCGGGACAAGGATGAAGAGCTGAGACATGAATGCCTCAGCGATTCCGTGAGCTGGAAATCGGACAGCCAGGTTTACTAGCGTGGACCCGTTTTGCTAAAAAAGACCTAACCCCTTAGAATTCGGGGCACCTAAAACAAAAACAACATCCTTTTTTAAAGAGGTAGTAATCATTTAAGTAATTCTCTTCAACTTGTGCTTTCAACCAGTTAGTGGATCGTAAATTACATAAAAGTTCTACAGTTATAGGTCATTTTACATATTTAGTCCCTACATATCAAATATTACTAATTTAGTCCCCTATTATTATTTTCATTTCCACGAATGGTCCTTTGTTAACATTTTCGTTAAAAACATAGATAAAATTGTAAATTCACACTCCTTTCTCTCCTCAATTAAGGTTCCTCCCTCACCTCGCACACCTTTCTCAAACTCATCGCTGAGTGTGAAGCTTTGAACCCAAAACCGAAATCATCACTCTTCTCTCAATTGTTTGTCAAACTGGTCAAACCCAAATTTAAAACCAGTAACCTTCATGGATGAGTTTTAATGTTTATTTTTCTTGCAATTTCTTGAGACTAACCGATAAAACTCATCCATAATGCTTATTGGTTTGGATTTTAGGTTCCACTAGAAAGACTAATAATTGAGAGAGGAATGATCATTTTAATTTTGTGCTTAGAGCTTCAAACTCAGTGTGAGAGAGAAGTACGAATGTACAATTTTATCCATGTTATTAACAAAAATGTTAACAAAGGACCATTCGTGAAAAATGATATAATAATTGGGGACTAAATAAGTAATATTTGATATGTAGGGACTAAATATGTAAAACGACCTATAACTGGGGACCTTTTATGGAATTTACTCTTTTTTTAAAAATCACTTCAACTAGAACATTTCTTCATAATAATTTAAAAAAGATACTTTCTCCGTCACCCATAGATTTTCCCAATAGCCATTTTTCTTTGTCCACAATAATAGATCTTCTCATTTCATCTTTTAACAATCAAAATACCACAACTATCCCCACTTACTTTATTTATTACACCTCACCCACCTTATTTAATACACTCCACCCATTTTCATTAAGGGTATTATGATAAACTTTCAACTTTTATCAACTCTCCTTAAAAACCACATAAAGCCAAAATGAGAAGATCTTAGAGGAACGGAGGGAGTATAAATTAATCGTAGTCAATAAATCAAACATTTGCAAACGTCTTAAATAATACAACGTCTCAACATTATTAACACTTCAAACAACTGAATAAACTGGATATTTAAAATATTAAAAGAGAAGCTTGACCCATCCATCAACAACACGTCTCGATGTCCTCCAGGCTGCTTATCTATCTCTTAATTCCTACCTGCGTGTAGTCAAAAGCAACAAAACTACACGCTCAGCTAAAAGCTGAGTGAGTAAATATCTAACTTTATAACTAATTCATAGAGTAGCATACATCAATATATACTCACACAATATCTAAAAATAAGCAAATACGGAGTATCATTTTTAATGCAAATGTCATTAAATTTCATTATTGAATATCATGATTAACAGCTTATTTACATCAGCTCAGATCTTACTTGTTACTTATTTATAACAAACTCAACGAAGCATGCACTCTGCACCACCAAACTTCTTTAGTTTTTATTATGAAAGCATTGGTGAAATAGTTATTTAAATTATACTCCGTACTAAAATATATGACAAGGTTAAGAGCAGAAAAGCAACAGAACTACATAGAAGAGGAGGAACAAAATCGAAGAAGAGGAACAAGAACAGAGCAATTCACTATCAAAACATGACACCCCCACAACATAAATCCAACTTAGTTAACCAAGGATTTCAATAATTCAATTCACAATTTCAACAACAGTTGTTAAGAACTCATTAACGAATCCTAATTTACAAATTAATTCTAATAATAGATATATGAAACCACGACTCACTTTGATTAATTTGGCGAAGAATCACAAGTTGATCGCTCTAGGATTTTCCGACAAAATCCGGCGATGATTGTGTTAATTACATTAGATTTCAGACCATTACTTACATCCATAGCAATACCTGGAAACATGTTTAGTAGGGGGAGGAGATCTTAATGTTTAGATCGACGTGTGAAGTATGAAGAGGTTGTTTAGTTGATGATGTAGCTCATGTTAACACTTTGTTTTGAGGGTGGAATAAAATTGGATGGGTGCTTTCTATTTCAAAATCTTCCAATATACAAAGTGTTGGTTTTAGCAGGACTAACGAAGAAGAAAGAATCAGGAAACAGAAAGACTTTCTTCATTCAATTTCTAAAACTTGTGTCAAATGTACAGACTTGCTCAGTATTTATAATGAGAGTATAAAGCATAAAAATAGCAACAAACTAACAGAATGATTTAACAAACTAACAGAAAATGTAACTGACTAAGCTACTCTAACACCCCCCCCCCTCAAGTTGGTGGGTGTATGAACCCCCAACTTGGAAAGATGTTGGTGATGAAGAACCCCAGGTAAGCTCTTTGTGAACAGGTCTGATAACTGAGCAGTTGTAGGGACATGTTGAAGTGTTATGAGACCATCTTGAAGTTTCTCTCGGACAAAATGGAAATCCAATTCGATGTGCTTGGTGCGTTCATGATATACTGGGTTAGTAGCAATATAAATTGCAACTTTGCTATCACATTTTACTGGAATGGGGGTGATATTTGGAACTTCAAGATCAGAAAACAGCCGAGAAAGCCAAGCTAATTCTGCAGTTACTCTTCGTATGGATCTGTATTCAGCTTCAGCAGAACTGAGGGAAACAGTGGGCTGCTTTTTAGATTTCCAAGAAATAGGACTTCCTCCTAGTAAGATGAAAAAACCACTGACTGATCGTCGTGTGTTGGGACAGGCTGCCCAGTCAGAATCACAGAATGCTTCTAGAGCAAAAGAAGGAGAATTGTTGAAGAGAAGACCTTGAGAAGGAGCAGAATTGAGGTATTTCAGGGTGTGTTGAGCAGCTTCCCAGTGAGGTAATCTAGGATCTTGCATAAACTGACTGAGAAATTGGACAGCATAAGCAATGTTAGGCCGTGTGTGGGTGAGAAAATTCAATTTTCCCACAAGGCAACGGTAAAGAGAGGGGTCAGAAAGAGGTTGTCCTTGTGCAACCTGAAGTTGCATATTAGCTTCCAAAGGGCAAATGGCATGAGATGCAGGATCACAATGAAATGTTGCAAGTAAATCCAAGGTGAACTTGCGCTGGGTTAAGATGAGGCCTTGATTGGTATGAATAGCTTCAAGGCCAAGAAAATATCCCAATTTGCCTAAATATTTGATCTTGAACAGATGATGAAGGTGGTTCTTTAAATATGTTATTTCAGCTAGATTATCACCAGTGATGAGAATATCATCGACGTAAACCACGAGAAAAACCACAGATGAGCCAATGTGTTTGATGAAAAGAGAGTAATCATTCTTAGAGGTAGTGAAGCCTTTTGATCGGAGAACCACACACAATTTGGCATACCATTGTCTTGAGGCTTGCTTAGACCATAGAGGGACTTCTTTAGTTTAAGCACCTGATTGGGATTAGATAAGAGAATTCCAGGAGGGGGTTTCATGTATATGTTTTCATCTAAGTCCCCATGCAAAAAGGAATTATTGACATCCATTTGAAATATGGACCAGTGATGTTTGAGAGCAACGACAAGCAAAGCTCTGACAGTAGTTATTTTAACAACAGGGGAAAAGGTTTCATGATAATCAATGTCTGCCTTTTGAGAACATCCTCTAATGACTAATCTTGCTTTATGTCTTTCTAGAGTACCATCTGACCTGAATTTAAGTTTATACACCCACTTGCTGCTGATTGGCTTCTTGCCTTTAGGAAGATCACAATTTTCCCATGTTCCAGTGTCTTCCAAAGCCTTAATTTCCAGCTTCATAGCATGTTGCCAAGCAGGATCTGATTTTGCCTCCTCATAACTTTTAGGTTCCTGCATATATGAGACAGTGTGCAAAAGTTGTTGACTTGCCTGAGTTAGAGCCCCTAAACAAATGTGTGTGGAAGGAGGAGTGGAAGTGACAGTGTGAGGACAAATAGAAGAAGGGGAACTGAAGGAACAAAGAGAAGGAGTTGGAAAAGAAGCCTGGCAGACATAATCTTGTAGATGGGACGGAGTTTTGTGGAGTCTGGTTGTTCTTCTGACAGGAGAAGATGGGATAGAAGTATGTGAAGGTGGAAAAGTAGGAGGAGCAGGAGTGATAGTGGAGAGAGGATGAGGGGTTGAAGTATTGGTAATAGGAAGAGTTGAGTGTTGTTGAGAGGAATTTGAATCTGTAGGCAAAACTGGAACAGTGTTGGGAGGATGTGTATGTGGGTGAGGAGTGAAATCTACCAAAGGATGTTGAGGATTAAAGTTGTTTGGAAATAAGGGATCTGGAGGTGGATTTTGATGAAAGGGAAAGACATGTTCATGAAAGGTCACATCTCTTGAGTCTTCAACCTTATGTGTGGACAAATTATAAACTTTATAGGCTTTCTTCCCAAAAGAATATCCCAAAAACACACAGGCTGAAGCTCTGTCTGCAAATTTTGTCCTTCCTTGTTTGGAAGTTGAAGCATAACATAAACATCCAAAGACTCTCAAGTGGTCATACTGTGGGGCTTTTCCAAAAAGAACTTCATAAGGGGATTTTCCTTGCAAGGTTTTGGTTGGAAATCTATTTATGAGATAGGTTGCAGTAAGTACACATTCACCCCAGAACTTTCTTGGTAAATTGGATTGAATGGAAAGGGCTCTTGAGGTTTCAAGTAGGTGTTTGTGTTTTCTCTCAACAACCACATTCTGTTGTGGGGTGTCCCTAACACTAGTTTGATGTATTATGCCTTTAGAAAGAAAATATTGAGAAAGGGGTTTGCTTTTGCCTAATTCCAAGGCATTGTCTGATCTAATGGTTTGAACCTGGGTATGAAACTGAGTATGAACCATGGCTACAAATGCTTGAATGAGATCAGGAGCATTGCTTTTAGTAGACAAAAGATAGGTCCATGTGGCCCTTGAAAAATCATCTACAATAGTTAGAAAATATTGGAATCCATTATATGTTTTAGTGTTATAAGGACCCCATAAATCTAGATGTATAAGCTCAAAAAGATTAGTGGAGAAACTTTGACTAGTGGGGAAGGGTAATCTGTGTTGTCTAGCCTTAGGACACA